CTAAGAAGTATAAACGATTATAGCATAATATTTTCTCTTAAAAACTCTTAAAAATAGAAGCAAAGAAAAAAGCGGTTAGCACAATCTCTGCGGGATTAAAATGTGAAACACGATTGAGCTACTTCCATCGTAAATGAGAAAATTCACCAACATGTCTATCATGGTGTGACTTCCCATGGTTATATCTGTCACGGTCTGTGATGTTTCCATGATAATGTCTATCACGTCTGTGGAGAGGAAAGAGTGGGTGAAAATTTCTACCGCTATAAACGTCAACACTCCTTTTAGTCGCGTTTCACAAAAAACTGAGTAGTTTTCAAAGCTCCTTAAATTTAATCGAATACAAATGATCTAATAAACCGGCTGGTTTTTACTAGCCTGAAAAAATATTTGAAACTGGTCTGTCACCGTCCAGACCGGTTGGAATATTCCTAACCGGTTATAACTCTGTTCGGATCTCATCCAGTTCTCCGCATTTTCTCCTTTGCACCGGAGCTTCTCAGAAATCATAAGCACATCATTACGATAAGCAATTTATTTGATAAGAGTAATGAGATAAATGATAAGCATCATGATAGTTGCTTGTTTAAAGGATTTCTGTCGTTTCTTGTTTCATTAATTGCAGACGCACCTTAACCGAACACATTGTCCCCCAGGACGATTACATTCTGTACGGCACTGCAAGTCACAAGCCTGATTACCTCCGAACGCACACAAATATTTCGATTGACCACATGCAGCTGACATGGAACCGACTAATATAATAAACATTGAGTTAAAAATATTCTGTATGGTAGACATACCCGACATTTCCGTCACAAAAACGAGAGCAATCAGGATACTGATCAGAAAGCGAGCCATATTTGATAGATCTGTTTGCATTGTACCGACAGAGGTAAATTAAAACTCATTTTTACATACGCAGCTATTTATTTAGAATCTGGTTCTTATCAGAAGAGAAATACGCGGTTTACTTTTTCTTCATATACCTATTCATTCTGCTCTTGATCGAAACAAACTGCTCAAAATACAACGGAGAAGAATCATTAAAACGTGGCTCACTGCACACGGTAGCTAAAGGACCATGTAGAAAATTATTTATTCAATTGTACAAGAATAAATACATATTAAATCATCTTTACAGCTGGATAAATTATTTGAGATTCGTTAATCGCCTACCTTTCGCTGCCTCTAAACCAAAACAGTTGTCTTCACGTCACATACTTGAATGTGATTATACATTTTAATTATATTTGTCACAATTCACAGTCTCTCTCTCCACCATTTCGTTTTCCTCACAAAAAAAAGCATTAACTAAGCGAAGATGAAGGATTGCAAAAGCTGTTTTCCTCATGAGAACAGCATTCTGATCCATATATCATACTCTGGTTCTAACATTATAAAAGAAAAAAATAGTTTTTCTCATTCAAAAGCGATTTCACGAGGGTAACACGAGTTGACAAAATGGGCAGATCCATGCGGCTGGAGCCACATCCGGAACGAAGTTGTCAGCTTTTGTGAAACACGATCTAAAAGAAGCGGTGAAGTATAGGGGTAGACATTTGCACCCACTCTCCCCGACTCCACCACAGACGTGACATACATGCTTAGTAAATAAGAGTGACAGAGGTGGCAGATACGTTAGAAACGGCTTGCCACATATATGACAGACATTCTGAGCAATGGTTTATCGTCAACATAACAGACATTCTTGGGAACGTCATAGATTGTAACAATCGTTACCATAGAAACGTCACAGACCGTGACAGAAGCTTGAATCTCTACTTTCGATGTCAACAGCTCCATCATATTTCACATTCCAATCCCACAGGGGTTGCGCTAATAGCTTTTTTTTCTATAATACTATAAATTGACGGGGCCCTCGTTTTGAGCTGGAAAGTTTTTCTAGGATTCCTTTGAATTCCTCTGTAGATTTTAAGATTAAATTAGCGGTGATAAGGGTGTGGGGTGTACGTGTAGGTGTTTCTTTTCTTATCCAGCACCCACACCCACACCAACACCCTTTTTTTTTTGAAAACACAAGATTACAAACGATGATGGAACCTTATTTTTACTTGTGGACACAAGAGAAATAAATGGTCATATTTCTATCCGTGAAAGTTTTATACATATTACTTAGTCGACGAAATGAACAAAAAAGAAATGTTTGACGAAATGCCATCACGTATTGAAGATTTAGCAAATGAACTTTGGCTTGAAGTTTTCGATTATCTTGACTGGATCAATCTTTTTTTAGCATTTTATAATATCAATAAACGAATCAATCAACTTCTTGTGTCTGTTAAGGTTCTTTCGCTATATTCGTCATACTTAATCAATCATGCCAACTCGATTTACTTATTCTTTCAGGTAAATCTCATTTTTTTAAAATTCATTCTTCTTTCTTTGCTGTTTCAGAAGAAGAGATAGAACAATTTATTTCACGTAGAAGTGAATATAATATTCTATTGGAAACTTTTTGTAGTATAAACTTCTCAAACTAGATTGCATAGCTAATCAATCAAACTAAACTACTTTCATTGATAATGGAAACAAGTTGTAACTTTTAGGAATTTTCCATGGAAGAATTTAAACAAATTCGACATTTTCAGTTGACATATGATAGTCTGTACGAAGTTGCATTGGATATTCCGAAACATCTTCCATCATTCTCGGCTCTTATTTCGCTCACTATTAATGCCAACTGTGCCGACTTAG